TCGATCCCCTCGCCAACTGGAACTGGTTATGGTCTTCTACCCACGGATTGTTCCATCGCCAGGGCCACGGGTGGCAACACTACCGTCCCCGTAGCTTCTCCACACGGAGCATTCAATGGGACTATCCTCGTTCTACGCAATTGTCCGGGTGCAAACGACCACATCCCGAGCATACCGACAACGGCGTCAGCTTCTTGCCAGCCCCCTTTTGGAACCAACCACTCCCTGCCGACTTGTGCCGAGCTACCGTTCACATTACGCCTTCGCTAGGTTCTCTAGCCCTCACCGGCATTGGGACAGTACCGCTGCAGCCGCATCACGACTCTCAACCGTCCTTGCTGGCCGCCTGGATGGCCGCCTCAGCCAGGGTGACAGAGTATGTTGGCTGGACCCCTGAAGAAATTGAGATCGATGGCGACGAAAGCCTCCTTGCTGAAGACGTACTCGAAGACCGGTTGTGTGTGATCAGCGACGGTTCTTATAAGCTCGGTCTGGGCATGGCAGCGGTTCAACTGCTTCCACGTAAGGGTGGCACGGAATGTATTATCGTCCGATGCCAGACTCCAGGTCTAACTGACGACCAGAGCGCGTACCGGAGTGAACTGATTGGCCTACTGGCCGGTATCATGGTTGTTGATTGGCTCCTCAATCAGTGGGCCCCAACACTTCGATCACCACCCCGCGTTAGGATTGCATGCGATGGATTTTCGGCGTTGCTCAACACCTTTGGTGACAATCGAGTCACACCGCAACAGCCCAGTTTGACCTGGTCTCCTCTATCCGGGAGGCACTTGCCCGCTCTAGGGCCTCGTGGGAACCTAGCCACGTGTACAGTCACCTCGATACGGCGACATCCTTTTCGTGCCTCTCTTGGTGGTCTAAACGGAATGTGGAAGTGGATGCGTGGGCGGTTGCCTATCGCCACCAGCATGAGGCTTCACACCGCTCGATTGCACCTAATGCTCGTTTCTTTACCAAATTGGCTGCCCTTTACATTGGGGACGTCAAACAGTCGCGATTGAATCCAGAACAGGTCCAGGAACTTGTGGCGCTGCCTGCTCTACGCAAGCGATGGCACGAGCGGCAGACAATTACACCAGAGGCAGAGCTGGAGACCGATTGGACCAGTCTGGCTCGCGCCATGAGCTCTCTTCCGGCAGGTGTCCAACGTTGGACCACAAAGCATGTCGTGGGTATGTGTGGTGTAGGGAAGTTCAAAGTCCGGTGGGGTTCCGCCGACTCAGCTGCATGTCCTTGCTGCGGCGAGTTTGAGGACCACCTTCACGTCCCTCGATGTACGGCGCTTTCGGCTAGCGCGGAATGGGATCGCCGGACAGCGTCTTTGGACCAATGGCTGGACACTCAAGTCACTGACCCAGCCATCAAACACGCTATTCTCTACCTTCTTCAAGGGGTTCGCGATCCGTCCCTACCTCGCAGTCGATTGGTTCCGGTTCGCCTTCGCCACGCCTTCCTCTCTCAACAACGCATCGGCTACCAAGGTTTATTGGAAGGCCGGCTGTCTGTTCAGTGGACGCCCCTGCAGGAACAGTACCTTCAGTCACGTGGGAGCCACCGCTCTCCGAACCTGTGGGTCTCTCGCCTGTCGCATCAGCTGATCTTGCTTGGATTTCATATGTGGGAACACAGGAACTCGGTGCACCATTCGGAGGACAACGTACAGCTACGCGAACGTAGCCGATTGGTGGACGACGGTATACACTCTCAGTTTGATATGGGCCCAACCGACCTACCCAAGGTAGTTCAACGCATGCTCGCTGTGAAACGCCGAACTGTGTTGAACAAGCCATTGGTCGATAGGGAAGAGTGGCTGAAGCTGGTCAGAATGGAACGCACGGCCTATCGCCGCGCTCTGGCGCCCCAACGCCGTCTCCTTCACCGCTTCTTCCACCCGGCCCAGGCCCCCTGAACCCATTTCGAGGAATCACCGCCCCGAAACCACCCCGCCTTGTCGCGGGTAGAGTTGGGATCCCCTCGATCCTGACTAGAGCAACTTCTGTCCACCAGATGTCTCCCATGGTTCAAACTAGTTGTTGACTCGTCGCTTCACGGTACTTGACCTTTACAGCCGCTTACTCCACCGGCAATCGTATGCGCTAGATAGCATTTAATCGATTAATGTTTCAGTTATTATTATTCCTTTGCAGCTGGCATCAACAGGTCAATCGTGATGGTGCCCTCAAATTCCGGAGAAGCCTGCTCTGCTGCAAGGAGCTTCTCAATCCACTCATTATCGTCCTTCTCCACTTGCTGGTCCAAATCAACGTCCCGCTCATACTCCGAGATTACACAATGTTGGCTTTGGTCCCAGGTCGTAGCATTGATAACAGTTCGATTATAGTGGTCCAAGCAGAGCCAGGTGCGGCATGTCTTCCTCTGCTGCTTCAGGTCCTGCCATAACTCAAGGTGAGAAATAAGGAAGGCAGCCAGATTCTTGAGAACTTCCTATGCCAATGAGGCAAACTTTTGGCGCACCACGAACACATAGAAGCCATCAATTGGGCCTGGTAGAATCATTTGGAAGAGACCAGTTGGGCCCTGGTTCAGTTCCGCATCCATTGCCGCCAGCCATGCGCTGGGCTCAAATGCCTCAGTGACCAGGGGCTTCTCAGATGCAAAAAGTTTCGCCCGAGCGGAAGACGCCATGGGAGGGTTGGTTGCTGCCTGGGGTGGAGACTTCAGTGCCGGAGTTGGCCATGGAAGAAGGGTGGGGGTAGTAGCTTGAGGCGGCTCCGTAGGTTTCTCAAGAGGTTGCTTGACCCGGTGATTCTTAGACCCCTTGCGACTGGAACGCTTGGTTGATGAGGCGGGTAGAGTTGGCTGAGCTGTGGTGGAGGCAGCTACAGTTGGGTTGGTCGGTGTCGGTTCGGGAGGAGTAGAAGACACAGAAGGTGGCAATGGAGAGTCTGGTGTGTCGGCATCCTGTGTGGCTGATTGTTCAGGCTGAGCAGGGGCAGGTTTCTTGACCGCTGGTATGCACTGAATCGCGTAGAGGAATTGGAGGAGGGATTTGCCCTTGCCCTGGGATATCCCGCAGTTTTCTGTGAAGCCAGCTTTCTCTTTTTTTTGGTGAGTCGATGTGGTCATTTTCACCCTCTTCTGCACGAAACTTCAAAAATCGACTTTCACTTATTGCCTGCCAGAAAGAAACTGTTACGACAAGGAATTTTATAATTGTCCACAATGCCGTTAAGTATTCAACTTCATTTGCCAGATTAAATTTTAAAGTTTGTTTTATTTGCACAGCAATTGCGAAACATCTGTAATGACCCCAAAAAAACCTGTAAATTTTTTACAGAAGTTTCGGAACATCTGTGAAAAATTCACAGAGATTTCGGAACATCTGTGAAAAATTCACAGAATTTTTGACTCAGACAATGGAAAATTCACAGAATTTTTGACTCAAGCGATAGAAAATTCAACTCAGAAGACGGTGCCAACTTAACCGTTTTTTTTCAAATTTGGTCACGCTTGCTTGAGATTTTGAAGAGAAAACGCAAAGAGAGTTTCAGAATCTTTCAGGATGATGCTTGGAATTGAAGTGACACCAGAACAGGTGCTGACCTACAGATTTGAAATGATTGGGGATTCACCTACTACAATTACTGATTACAACTGCAAGGAGCATAATATTGGAGATTTCAAGGCTCATTTTGGCCAACGCCCCAGCACTCTATGCATTCTCGGGCAAGACATTTTGAATTGTACGAACAAAGACTTGGGGCTCCGCCCATATGACAGGAGCAAGGAGGGGCTTAAGCAATTGCTAGTTGCAATCCACTCCCTTGCTTCAGCTACTGGGATAAGCACACAAAGGGACCAAGCCGACAACCTATGGCACTGGGTGAAAGTTCTTTGGACACTGGAAGCAAAGGTGATCAGCTGGTTGGAGAAAGAGTACAAACAAAAGAACTATGGTCCAGGAAGAAAATGCACCATGAATAAACTAGATCCATACCTTTTTACATACCTACACGGTGTGACTTTGCCTAAAATGTGTGACTCTGGTTTTTCTACAGCAATGACGTTTTTCTAACAGCAATCTCTTTCCTCAGTCATTGTTGTGCAAATCGATGACGCATCAAATTGTTCCGTTAGTTTGTTTCGGAACATCTGTGAAAAATTCACAGAGATTTTGGAACATCTGTGAGAAATTCACAGAATTTTTGACCCAGACAACCAAGCATTGCTTGCGCACAACATTAACCGTTTTTTCCTCTACTGAAGTTGTATGGTGCTTTTACAAAAGGGCATGCGTGCACGCATGTCAGCTGAACCTCTGTTGAAACCTCACGGCAATTTCGGAACATCTGTGAAGACCCTTAAAAAACCTGTGAAAAATCCACAGAGATTTCGGAACATCTGTTGGTCATTCACAGAGATTTCGGAACATCTGTGAAGAATTCACAGAATTTTTGACTCAGAGGACAGAAACAATGGTCAATTAGGGGAACTGTCTGTAATTTAACGAACTACGACCAAAACGTGACGATCACCGACCAAGAATGAATTCCATGAGCAGTGATGATGTCGGATCACAGATCCCCGTGCAGAAGGAGTGAGCAAGCCCCAATTCCAGTTCAGATTCACACCAAAATGCGGAATATCCCTGTTTGCAGTACTTGGGAATGAAGACCTTGGTCAGCATGCCTTGGATAGGAAACAGTGGAGCCAGGGAGGTGCAGGTCTGGGAGGTAGTGTCATGGGTGTTGATGAGTTTCCCAATGATGCCATTCCACTGCCCCCCTGGTTGCGCAAGGTCACCGAGGTGTCCCTTCGTAATCGCCCCCCAGTCGTAGACAAACTGAGTCCGGGCACCAAACGGCATGTGACACTTCTTTGTCTCTGGCCTGAGCCATGCAAAGAGGGCCTGTGCCACTCTATCCACGTCAGAAGCAGCTACCCAAATGTGCCACGCTTTTGAACCCTTGGAGGGCATCCATTTTTGGCCCGCCGTACTTGGCCAATATACTGTTTCAAGGAACCTGTCTTTAGGAACTCTTTCCAATTGGGATCTGTTGGCTCAAAGTTCTCATCATACTTCCGGTGGGTTGGGATGAGAGTTGCGCAAAAGAAATGGCAAATACCATTAAAATAGTGTTGCAAGTTTTCATTTGCAATTTCGTCGTTGCCAAATCTATCAGGGTCAAGTCCGTTCATCTTCCTGTATGTGGAAAACAACCATCTTGATGCATTGTTCACCCCATAGTTTGACTTTGATTGTCCTAGTCTTGGACCCTTGGCAATGGCTTTAGATGTCATGGACTAGGTCGCAAATGCACTGTTGCAGCCTGGTTGAGTCCAATGACGAAGGCTCAGTTTGTGTGCAAGTTGAAATATTAGGTAGCCGGTCTGGCATCAACCGCCAATCCATCACGAGAGGTTTCATGAAAGTTGGTTCTCCTTGGTAGAAAAGGTATGGGGCTTCGCCCCAAACCCCTTTCAACTTTCATGAAACTTTGCGCTTCGCGCAAAACTTATGATCCACTGTGACATAGACCATTGATCAATAATCGACCAATATGATTGCTCAGTATATCAATACCTCCAACAGCCGCAATGTTCATACACCTTGTTCGTATACCTTTTCAATATCATAAAGAGTGAATTGAGCAAGAGTGTACCGATGGTCCGCAACATCTTCAATCTTGTTCTTACCATACCTCTGTTCAAAAATTGATGTTCAGGCTATGCGCTTTTGTCACCATACCGCCCCAAACAAGCTCAATAGGATTTAGTTCTGGGGCTCTTGGAGGAAGAAGAAGAATGGAAGTGCAATGGTTCTACCAGAAGCGAGCTTCAATATCTTGGTTGTCACAACCAGTGTAGATAGCTGCGCTTTCCATCACAAGAATGTCACCTGGTCGCAAGAAACCACTTTCGATTACCATGTCAACTACCATGTCAAATGCGACACTGTCGTTCTTCCCTGAATGCAGTGCCCAGAAGAGGAGGGTAGCTCGTTTGTCGACTGCACAAAATCCAGTGATGGCACATGTGTTTCGGCGTGGATGTTATGTGTAGACTTCCTTTTCTTTTACTTATTTTTTGTCAACAAATTTGAGGCGCAGGTGGTCCACACAATTGATGACACTCCTGAACTCTATCCCTTTTGAGATATTCTGCCGCCTGAACTTGTCAATGGGGATAATGTTGGCCTTGCAAATGGTTCCGGCTATATCAAACCCATGGCAAAAGAATCTCGCAACAATGCTTCAGTCAACATAGGTGCCAGTGAAGGATCGGAGTCATTCAACGTAGGATTGGGTTGAGCGAGCTTTTTCAAAGTAGAGATTGAGAAGAACTTGCTAATCCATGATTGCCATACTTCTTGACCCAAGTCCTCTTGCACAGTTCTTCTTTGGGCCTTCAAAACGTCCCGCTTCAAATTCTGCAAGGTATTGTCTTACAGTTGTCAGAGAAAGACTACATTTTTGAGCGACGGCATGTAGAGGCTGAGTTTCTTTTTACATTTGACAGCACTTCTTCTGCAAGAATAACATCCAGAACCTCAACCTTCTTCTTGTATCCTTAGGAGCAATCCTTTGCAAAGTATCCATGATGGTTATTTTGATGGATTGGGGGAGCAGAGGACTTGTTTCTTGGCATTGTGGCAACCTTCATGTGTCATTGGACATTGTTGGCTTAAACAGCCAGTCTGGTCCTCAAAAATGTGACAAGCTGGTTCTGACCCAGCTACCGGTATATCCTATCTATTTGTCACGCCTGGAACACCCGGCAAAACGATGACTTTAGAATTCCTCTTGGTTCCTTCTCGCAAGATGACTAATAAATGAAGAGGACATTTCTCATATATAAGAACATCTTGTCGCTCATAAATAGTTTAGAACCAAAAGGGACATTTTTTAAAAATTCTTAGTCCGTAATAATTCATTTAAAGGCTCACCTGACATAATGATGGAAAAACTGCTTTTAGGTCGCGACTCAATACTTCTTAAA